CTACTCTCGTTAGAGTCCAACACAGGTTCACATAATAGAGTCCACATTGTGGGAGGGGAGGGGAATGACGGGGTGCACAAACTGAAAAAAAATTTCGATTAGGTCGGGTGGGCCATATATAGGGCCAGTCCAAGTCCCTACCTCTGGCTCCGGAGTTAAGCGGGTCATTACGTGCCGCATCCCTCCTTTGCCTTACCAACATCCCCTACAAAAATATCATTGATAACAGCGATTGATACACAAAATGAATGAATGAATAAACAAATTCATCAATAAATGAATAAATAAATAAATAAATAATGAAAACATTCATAACAACTGTTGACAATAAACATAATAATATGTATAACAATCAACCAATTCACAATATTAACGAATAAATGAAAAATAAAATCAAAGAAGTCGTAGCTTGACTCAGAATTTGTTAAATTTTTTCTTTGATATTGAACTGTTCTCTCATGTGTGAGGGGATTAAATGCAACATTTAGAGAAGACCGCTGTCCCGTTCAGACCCCATCCCAAAGGGTACCAGAAATATGTGGATGCCTTCAAAAAAAGATTGATATCGATAGTTTAATGACCCCTAAACTTCTCATCATGTGACAATACAGTGACCAAAATACATTACAATGAACACTAATAACAATAATACAGCGCAATAACATTAACAACTGAATTGAAAGTCACTAAAAAACCCCCCAGTTAAAAGCTACGAGGCGACGTAAGCATCTTCAGTATTGCAAAACACATTTCGACAGAAAATAATATTTCATATCACAATACAATACACGATAATATGTGTCACTGTATTGTCATTTATTCTCAATAAGTTATATCCAAACAATATACAACTCACAAGTAATTGATAACTCAAGCAAACATATAATTCACATATATACAATTCACAACTGAACGAATGAATAAAAGAATAAACCATACAAAAAGTGGTCACTGACCACGACTCAATTTTACTTTTTGTCCCTAAGTTCAAATATAAATGAAAATAAGTAATAAAATAAGGGAGGGGAGGTTGTTCTTTAATTTATTTGAGTTCCGATGAAAAGGGAAATAAATGAAAAATCAAGTTGAAACTCGTAACCCAGCGCTTCCACGCGCTATTGTATCATATTAGTTGCTTGTTGGTATATTGATTTGTAGTTATGTGATTGATTTGTTGCTTGTTCATTGATGATTTCGATCTCGAATTGATCAAACATCTTCTTCTCGATAACATCATGGCCATACAACTCGTATATCCACAACCACCGATCCCCGTAGCCGGTCATACACCGAAAGTCAACGTAGGGTTTGAACCATTGGAAACTCCAGCTAAAATTGAATGATGGTTTGATGCTGACAAGATGTACCATTTTTAGGCATATATCACATTGCTACTTTACCAAAAATACCAACATCTCTGTCAATACTATGTGTGTTATCACACAATTGTTATACAGACTACATCAACACATCTAATAGAGAGTATTCACCCTCACTGAGTATACGGTAAATTCATATCATATCAAGAGAAGTTAGCTAGACTGATGGACAATAAAGTTATTTAAAACCAATTAAAAATAAAATCATCAAAAAAAATATCCAATTCCCCACCTTAGATTGTGGTTACTGCAATTTGTTGCAATGGATATGACCAATCATTATAGAGCTCGCTGCCAATGACCACTACCGTATTCGTTCGGTCGCTCATTTTCATATACACATCTGAAACAATATTAAATGCCTAATTCGCAGCTTTTCTTATTGATAACACATTTCTCATTAATGAATTATTCGCACACGTCATCAACGTTCTAAACTAATACTGCGATGGTAATGATTTAATGAGATATCACTTACACTGCAAATATTATCACATTTCAAAGATTGCACCCGGACGATCTTTTTTAGGCTTATACTAATGAAGCTGTAAAAAAAAACAGAATGATACTACTAAAGTTGAAAAATTAGGTGGATATTTGAGCCCAAAATATCTGTGCCGTGATGATGAATTACACCATAAAAAGCATGAACGAAATAGAATCGTGAAATACATCACACACGCATCACCAATACGTCATACAAAACCACACGAAAGAAAAGAATTATGGCTGAATGATAATATAAATGTTACGAGCAAGGCAGTCACTTTGACATGATCTGCGATGATCAAATGGTGTGGTACTATTGATAGATCCATAGAATTGAAATAGAGCACAATTATGATCATATTTATGATCAGAACGGCAAAACATGTACTTATAATTATGTCATACAACTAGTTGGTGAATTCTAACATTAATGGAAAAAAGAATTGATATTCCGTCGAAGAATTGGTATTTCCAAATACCAAATTTATTCCAGATGAAATTAGAGGTACGCTGACGCTTAGATTATCAATGAAAATGGAACTGTCATCGAAATTTTTAAAAAATCAAAAATTCATACTAATTAAGTGCATTACGTGAAAGCAATCGTATAGTCCTGTTAACACAATTGTAGGTGATTTAAGTCATTTTGGTGTAGTTAGATGAAGTAAAAATCGATTGACAGGTGGGGTGTCTGCTTTCGCCATCAAGCCGAGAATTGTCGAAATAGCATTGCAGAAACCAGTGAGAAGGAAAATAGTATGGGAATATACGAGAAAATAGAGATGCAGAGTCTTCATGAATGCTGAGTGTCATGTTTCAGATGCGAGCGTGTGTGGGTGTACACGTGCGTGTTTAAAGCATTGTAAGTATGGAACATCGTTTGACGCTTTTTGACAGAGTACGTTCAGAAGGCCATTGCGAAATTCCATTGTAATGAGTAAACAACACCGTAAAAAGTTTTGATCTCTGATCAAATATTTGACATTGTATCATTGAAACTGTTTCATCAAAAGGAATTTCGAATTCGGAACTTTTGTTTTTGCTGGAAACTGGAGCATAAAGATTCATCAGGAACGATACCTGATTGTTTTGTGTGAAGTTCTTCACTGATATTATAATCAGCCTGAATCAAGAAGAGATGCACGCACGCAAAAACGACTGATACAATTGAGATGCTCAGTATCTTTAATTTTTATGCAGTCGAATCGCTGTGGTGAGCAAATCGCTTTCTAGCAATAAGATACTTAAGAACAATTGTAACAAAACTGCTGAACGAATAATATAAAGTATCCGTGCATGCATATATCGAAAAGATCGACAACATCCGATTAGAATACCGCAGAAAGTGATCTTTAAGATGTGAATAAAAAGTATGAGAACACTATATAAGGACAAATATGTTCCAATGCACTATTTCGATGCTTGATTAGGGCTGTGTGTACTTCAATAATATGCAAATCGTCATTATCAGTGCATAATAAAATCTGTATCACAGCACATCAAACAAAACTGACATAAAAATATCAATCTCTTCTGTGATTTTCCTTCCAAAGTAGACCACATTCAGTGAGATTATACCAGTCTCTCAATTGCACTGATATAAATATTTCATATTGTTCATGACCTCCATCGTCACATCTCGTCCAGCTTCACCTTCAATAAAACGATCTGATTTCATCATTTGATTTGAGCACATAAACCTGAGAAGACCGACTGTTTGAAAATGCTGACTCTCAAACTGCTATGCTAATGAACGATCAATATAGATCAATTATAGCAAGCTAATTCGTTTCGGAATTTTCTGAAGTTCTACTCGGCGACATCAGCAAATGATGTAATTTCCAGCTATTTCAGGTCACGTTCACCACGGAGTCAACTAACGATTTTGAAAGAAGAGTGTATGGAGCAAGCACCCAACAGCAACGTGGTTCTCAGATTATGAATTCAGTTGTGCCTTTGAACATAACCGGATATCACGATGCCTCTTCAACGGCAACGGACCGAATTCACGTGCCGAATCAAGAAACACTCGAGCCAATGCCTGCTTCTGCGTTCTCGCCAATTTCATCGTCAAATCCGCCCAATACGGACGGCGCTGTAACACCGACCTCCACTCATTCAACACCGTCAGATTCATTGTCTGTCACTTGGCCGATCACACCTCAACTAACAGTGTTCCAGAATCGTAGGCCAGTTGTCAGAAATAGGCCTTCGTTATCACATCGTAGAAAAAATATCCACAATTTGCGCCAGATGATCAGAAAAGACGCACTGAGAAGTGCACAATCAAGCAACTCAGACAACATTGACGCCGTCCGAGTGCACAAAGTTTCTGAGGCTTTCGTTCGCAAGATGCCCTCCACAAACGTGCCAAGTGATAACGGAAATGCGGTGACGGATAGCTCAAGTGCACCAGATTCAATCGAAATAGCTGGTTGGGAACATCTGGCCGAAAACGGCATCATCCTGGCACCAAACTCATCTGAAATTGAATCAGCCGCTCGTTTCGGGATATTTTCTGACCGCAGAGCCAGCCTTAACAACGACGAAGTTCAAGACATCACTGATCCCGGATTCCTTGGAGAATGACTTCTGTGCATCAATGACCGTTATGCTTTTAGAAGAGGTGTTAAAAGCAATACTTACTTGGAACTCTTCAAGCGAGTTCGTCAATCCCACTTAACGTTATCGACTGTTGATGCCATACACTAAGATGCCTGAATATCATTGCAGATCACTGTGCGTTTCACTAATGTATACACTCGTGAATAACGGCAAAACAGAAATTTGGCTACTTATGATTGATTGTTTCATTGCATTTTAACGGAATTTTGATTCTCCATATTGATAACGGAATCTCCATAAATGAATAAATATTGATTGCCAACAATAATTTGCTAATAATCACATTAATAATTTATACGTTCCATTGTTTGTGTTTTGATATTGATAATTTTGGTGATAAGTTTAATAATGATGATAACCGTTATTGTTGTTATTGAAATAAATGACCAATTTGTAAAGCCGTTTCAGTTCAGTGTTCCATCGTTGATATATATTGTGATGCTCTGTTCTATGTTCTCTCGAATAAAAATCTTTCCTCCGTTTGAATGGAAGCCTCTCCCTGGAGAGTGATGAAGAACAGATGGTTTTAGAATCAACTTCAAGACAATACGATAGCTTGTTTTATCATCTTATTCGTGTAAAGGTTAGCTACCTATTTGCTCATAAGAATTCTCAGCTTTATTGCAGGACATGAAAAGACGAGGAACATAGGCAAACTTCCGAAAAAGATAATACCATCTATTAACAAACCAGAGGATAAATGCTCATGACAATGATATTATATTTTGGTGTAGTGATTGCCGAATGAACTGAAATTAATTGTGAGAAGAAATTCTTCTGCGAGGCAAATGAATTTTTTTCACTTACTCTTAAGTACTGTTAGGTTTATGGAGTACTTCCGAGTTTGACTATTTTCTCGGTCACAAAGTTTAATGAAATTTCTCATATCACTCTCGCTCTGAATGTATAAGTTGACTTCATTAAAAATTTTTGAAGGAACTGTTCGAATCTACCGTCAGTTATGGTTTTCAAAAAAGAACTCCTGAAAAGTTGAAGGTTCCAGTGATTTTGAAAGATTTATGTCAGATTGCGTTGCACAATTCTACATAACGTTTATGTTGTTAAATTTGTTTGCTGATATTCCTATGTTAATGATATCCTAAATTTGCTGACAATTCATTATGCCATCAATACATGAATATTGTTCATTCAAGTTCACTTCAGCATTTGTATTGTTTTTATTTGAATGCAAACGAAAGCAGGCATAAGAAAATTTCAAGCAATTTTCAGTAAATTGCTGCGCATAGATTAATTGATCTACTCGTTTAATCATACTGATCTGCATTTCTGTAGATATCCGCCAATTTTCTTGTGACTGCGTCTATCCGAACTTAGTGTTTCGATATTGCTGTTCAATAGAGTCAGTTAAATAGGCTCAAGAATTGAGTAAGGAAGTAGCTCATAAATGCGAAAAGTTCATGAGATCGGTAGCTGGATATGCGTGTGCTACGTGTTCAGATAATGAATTAGTCGTTTATTTACGTTGGATGCGATCGTTTACATTAACCATTTGCCGTAATCGTTTTAGAATTAGTGTTTACATGCCATTAACTTCAACATATTATAATTACATATTTCTAAGTAACATTCAACAAACCATGAGAAATTACTTTTGTTTGTCTATTGCAAAATTGATGTGTGTCATTGTTATACCTATTACACGCGCCTCTTTCGAGCAGTTCTATGAAGTCATCCTTCTATAATGCATCTCTCTCAATAATATATCTCATTGTCAGCGTTCATCGATGAACGCATAATGATTTCATTATGCATTCATGCATAATGATTTGAAATCATTATGCATTTTCTGCGTCCGCACTTGTTCTATCGTCTCCGTCCGAGGCGACCTGCGCGGACACA